ATAATAAATGAACATATTTGTCTAATGTTGATTAATAGACTCATTTAATTTTATGTAGGGGAAAATTTGTATAATGTATATTGTTATAATCGTTTAATAAGTATATGAATGACTTGTGTCTAATGTGTATTGCTAAACTTGTTTAATAAATACATTGACAATCTTGTATAATGTACATATTGTTAGACTCATGATATTTTTGTTAGATTTGTCTAGTATGTGTTGCTAGACTCGTCTGATCTAAGTGTAATAAAAAATTATATTCAAAAATAGTATAAAAAATAATTCATACTTCAAGTATAAGTTAGTCATTGATAACTTATTAAATGATTAAGTAATTAAAAATTATGAAAGGGTAAAATTAGAAATGAAATAAATAACACAAGAAAAATAATATTTTAAACATATAAGTTATTCCTAATTAAGTATATTAAAAAAAATAGATAAAAACTTTTAATTGTGACTAAAATGTGTCTGACAACACAAATTAAAAAAAAAAGTAAGTATTTTCTTATTTTAAAAATTAACTAATTTTTAAAATAACTTTTAGAATTGCATATCATAGTTTAAGTTGATTAAGAGAAAAAATTCATGTGAGAGAAATATTTTTATATGACAATATAAATAAATATTATTTTTTTAAATAATATTACATTAAGAAATAAAAGTAAAATACAATTTTTAAAATTCAACTTTATTAAATGCCAACCATAAAAAAGGATAAGATTAAAAATAAAAAAATAGTATACAAATAATTAATACTTTAATATAAATTATTCTATAATAATTTATTAAATGATCAAGTGATTAAAAATTATAAATGGATAAAAACAAAGCATGAAAAAAATTAGTATAGAGAAAAATGAGCTAATATTTTTAATTTAAATTATTTTTTAATAATAAATATATATTGAAAAGTATATTAATTTTTTTAATGATGATTAAAATGTGTCTAAAAACACACATTGGATTAAGTAATGATTTATTTATTTAAAAAATATAAAATTTAAATAGATTTTAAAAATGCATGTCATCTATTAAATTGATTAACAATATAATTCGAACTTTATACTTGATATTTTTTAGATCATCAAATTTGAAAAAGTAGTAGTTATATTTAAAAACTAAAATAATAATTTATTAGATATTAAATGATAAAGTTAAATATATTGTTACTTGTATGGTAAATAAATTTAAAAACAAATGAAATGGAAACAATAGTGAAACAAATTTTTAGAAAAACATTTTTTTATATGATAATATAACTCAAAAAAATAAATATAAATGTTAAATAACTAAAAACTTAACTTTTGAGACATTTGTCAACAATGAATAATAAAATGAATTTGTTAGTATTTTTTTTCTTGTATCAAAATAAATATAAATAGAAAATAAACCAAAAGTGTCAAATGATTAAAAAACTAACTTTTGATACACTTATCAACAGAATAAAATGAATAATAAAAATAAATTTATTGTATTTTTTTATACCATAATATGTTTTCATTTAATTGTCGTAATTTTTTAAAATTTAATTAAATAAAATCATGTATAAAGAATGACATGTTGACTCGAAGATACCAAACACAAAATCTATTGAAAGGTACTTATTGTTTGAATTATATAGAGTAGGATATTAGGTGGTAAAAAATTAATGAAGAATTTGACATCGTTTAAATACGATTTTGATGTATAATTATTTATGCAGTGAACTCGTTTTAACCAGTTAAATCAAGTTTTATAAGATGTGTTACAATTAGTATATAAATAAATAAAATAAAAGATTTTGATCTCTCGTATTATAAGATGAATTTTTAAATTTAATATTTTTATACGAGGGGATCATTGGATGATAAATTATAATTATCATGACTAATTGATTTATGTTATAATAATGTATAGTGTAAATCAATTAATATATTTAATTATATTTTTAGATGATTGTTATCACCTGAGACTAAATTAAAAACACATTTTGAAGAATATAAAATGTTTCATCTATATCTATATACAAAAGAATTTTTTTGTGTTGTACACGTTTCTTTTCCAAATTTACTTTTTCATTTTTTTTTAAAATAATCACTTTATCAAATTTATCATTTCTTTAAATGTTACCTTTTTCTTTTCAATTTAACAATATTTTAGAACTTCAAAATTTTCTCATGAAATAATAATATTACGATATTATATAAGGTTATATAACGAACAAATAGTTTCTTTAACTTTAAATTTATCTAATAAACATATTATCATTAAGTGATATTTTACTTTAAGCTCATTTATTGAACACATGCTCGTCCAACAAATATGTATAATTTTGCAAAAAAAGACTCTACAACTTTATATTAGATACACATATTAAATTCAATCTAATTACTAATTATAGATGCTAAAACAATCAACCATCATATTAATCATCATTCAATTACTTTATTCACTTCAATGTAATATCAACCATCCAATATATCAAAATTTCAATGGCATCATGGCTAAAGATAATTCAAAACTCTTAACTCTCAACATGTCATATTTCATTGAACAACTCGTTTATAAAAAATCTATTCATACTTTGAACTAATAGAATTCTACAATTCTAAACACTCGTTAAATTTTAAAACACATGTTTTTAAACTTTCACACATCAATTTTTTTTTTTTATTTCTAGACTTAAATTTTTCAAATACCTATTTGAAGACAATATTAGCTATATTTAATTTCCATACCATGTTTTTTTTTTTACTTTACAAATTGTTATGTAAAGTTGGTTATAATTAAACATTGGTGTAAGTATATATAATTTGATGTTTTCTAACAATTGAATTTAGTATGAGTTGTCTCATTGTAAATAAAAATGAATGTATACATTGAGAAAGAGACACAAATATTTTAAACAATATTGACTTATTATCAATCTTTAAAATTATAATTATTACTTCGATAAAAAGTCATTAACAATGATCCTATTAATATTATTGTTTTAAAGCTTAATAATATTTTTATCCTTATATTTATAGTAATATTTTTTTATTTAAAGTGATCTTGTAATTTTTAAAAGCGATCCTTTTCTTAGATTAACATTAAAGATGATGAACTAATATACGTTAATACAATAGCATGCTGTTTTTAATGCAGTTATTCTAATATTAAAGATAAAAATGAAAAAAATATGAAAGCTTTATCTAAGTGAAATAACACACTGATTTTTTTTAAAATTATACTGAATCAGATATAAATAAAAGAAAAACATAGAAAATAAAAGATGTTAAACTTTTAAATTTCTTAACAACATTATCAATGTTTCAGTTTGACTAAGTGTTACTAGATAGCTAAGAATTATTTTTTAAATATTTCACCAATTACAATTTGACTTTAAATATTCCTGTTTTTTTTTTGTTTTTTTTACATAAAATCATTCAGGAATAATGAAATTAATTTTGTAATGACTGAAAATTATGTGCAGGTCAATGTTAACTTTGCATCTTTTTTTATAGATTGAGTGAAATCAATGCTAGAACACTGTCATTAATTTGATCAGTTGTTTCCATGATTAATGTCATAATAGTTTTAGATTGCAAAATATCTATCATTCTTTTATTGGTGCATAAAATCAAGAAATATATGGTTTTCATAGTTTGTTATTAAAAGGTTTTGTATAATATCATACAAAGTGCATATACTCTATCGTTTCTTGTATGTAAAGGATATATTTTGGAATTTCATTTTCAAATTTTGCACTTATCTATATCTAAACAATTGAATTTGAGATATATATTTCAACAATAACAATTATATGATCTTAAAAGTTTGTTATTATAAAATTATGTATATCAATAGAAAGTGGTTATAATATTTTATCATTGAGTATATAAAAGATATATAGTGAAAATTCATTCAATTTTGTGCAAAATATATATCTAAACAAATACATTATTTTGTAATATTTAATACTTAACAATAATACCAAATATATGATGCATTACATAAATAATCTCAAAACTACTTCCTCTTAAATTAATTAGTTTATTTTGTGTGAAATCTTCCAGCCAAATCTCTCTCTAAAAATAGAAGAAATATTATGATATAGCTTTACAATATGCTTTATAACTATGATACATATTTTAATAACTTTTCCTGTGATTTTTTAGGAAGAAAATTTAAAAAGAAAAACTATTGTAAATTTGTATTTACTATCAAAGCCCTCGTTTTAATTTGTAAGATGTACATTTATTCTTATAGAATTAAATGACACAATAAATGGTCTAAATTGTATTATAATTAATTTTTTAAAATTATAATTTTATTTATTGATAATTTTATTCATTGATATCTTTTACAATTCAATAATTTTACAATCATATAATGCTATTTTTATTTATTGATATATTATTTTAAATAACATTAAAATTTATTTAAAAATAAAGAAAAAATGATAAACAAAAATGATTTCACAACTTAAAAAAAAGCTAGTAATAAGTAAAAAATATATTGATTTGTGATGATTACAAAATAAATCGTAGATTGATTTTGTTAAAATTATTAGATAACAAATTATAAGGGTGACTGTTAGATCAATTGATTTATATAATAATAATAATAACAATAATATATTGTGAATTGATTTATGTATTTAGTAGTATTTTGAGTTGATATTATCACCTAAAAATAAATTAAAATATATGAAAAACAATAATTCTTAAAAGTATTTTAATTTTAAGTGTTGTTGTAATTTTTTTGGTGATACATTCTTATTCAAATAAAGATTTATTCTTAGAATATTTCATGATTTTATAAATACAAATAAAAAGATAATTATTAATTTAAAATAAATAGTGTAGACTGATTTACCTCAACCGTTACCTTCAATCAATAAGCAATGCTTTGACACATGGAATAATGTGGTTGGTTGTATGCCATGAAGTCAAATTAAAATAAAAAGCGTAAATAAATAATAAAAAAATTACAAAATTTTCCTTCACATTATTATTAATATATCCTTTTCTTTTCTCCGTGTGTCTCTCTCTGAGGAAAAAAAAAGGGCTAACAAAAAGACTCTCTCGTCTTTCATCTGCACACCATCGTCGTTTAATCCCAATCGCTTTGTCGTTTTACTCTCTAAATCGGAAGTTACCACCCGCCGCGGACGTCCCGGCGAATCTCTCCGCCGCCGCTCCATCATTCGAATCTCGCTCGCGATTCCTCCAACACCAATCGATTCCCTTCTTCTTTTTCTTTTGTTTCTTTTCCTTTGATATTCGAAGACGGCGATTCCGTTTCCGGCGTGTCCTTATCGGAGGAGGAGTGCGCACGATTATTAACCTGCGCACTGTCGCTCGTCGCGGTTCCTTCCGCTCGAACCAAATTGCCGGAACTCCCTTCCGCTCTACCAGGTGGAAAGGTGAGAGTCGCTTGCTCTTGCTTGCATCATCGACGAATGGATTCGGTCATTGCATAGTGATTGGGTTTCGGAATAAGGGTTCCGATTTCGGATTTAGGTAGTTTTTTGTTTGCGAGGTCACGTTCTCCCAGCCTTAAGGGTTTTAGCGACGAGCTTCGTGGAGTTTGCTTCTCGATCCGTTGCTTTCTCCCTTTCGATTCGGTTATACCGTTTCCGTTTGGAGATTAACTTGTTTTTGATTTAGCGATGATCATTTTGTGCATTGAAGGGTGTTGAAATTCGATTCTGGCTAAATACGAGTCTTAACGGTATTCAGTTTTGACCGTTACACTAGACACTCGTTTTGAAGCAGTGCTTTCACTCCTTGATCAATGTGGTTCGTCCGCGAACTTAGAATAATACATATATGACTGTTTTTAACCTAGAATTTGAAGTTTGAATCGAATTTACCTCATCTTGGTCAAGTTCCACTTGAATTCAACCCGAAACGAGGTTTTCTTTTTCATTTCTATTTGCCCATTACTTGATTGCCAGAAAATCTTTGGAACTAATAATATGTGAATTTTTAACTCACTAATTAACGAGCGGTCTGTGAAGGACTTGCAACTCTATGGAGTCACCACTGGATGAACCCCTGAACCTAATTTGACTACTTAAGAGCTAAGCATGCTTGGTGGTTCTATCAGCATGTATTTGTAAAAGTCTTTCAGAAGATGTAAACTGGTCCTACTATTTTCCTCTACGTCCTTTTTATCATGCTGGGTTGTTGTAATACGGGTTTTCTATTTTGTTATTTAATTCAACTTGCATTCTTCAGAATTATATTTACATTATGTCTGCGCCAACCATCATTAGGTTCCTTCTGACCATAAATCGTTTTCTCTGTTGTTCAGGTTTTGTGGAGTCAGAAGATAACTGAAGGAGCACGTGATATTCTTTTTTTATTATGATTAATCACACTTACAGTAAGGAGACAGGAGTAAAGATAATTGTAGGTTAGTCATATGTTATAGGATGGCTTTCTTCAGGAACTTTACAAATGATACAGTCTCACATGGTGTCATGGAAGATAAAAGCCAAGGACAGAATGCAAATAGAACTCATAGATCAGTAGGTAATGAGTGTATTGATGCAACTTCTAGCGAGAAAGAATTTGATATGAACATGGAGGCACAGTATGAGAGTGAAGGTGAACCAAATGGTTCCGGGAGACTGCAAACTGAGGCAACAATGGATGACGAAGATGCTGTGAAAGACTCAAACTTGCAGACTGCTGGTAGTAAAACAGCTACTATGGGAAGGTGGGGTTCAACTTTTTGGAAGGACTGTGGGCAAATGGGCCCTCAAAGTGGTCTGAATCTGAGTAGAAATCAAAAAGTGGTTCAGATTATAGAAATGCTGATGGGTCTGAAGATAATTCATTGGATGGAAGAGCAGAAAGATTAGACTCAGATGATGATGATGGACAAAAGGAGGCAGGAAAAGGTCCCAGAGGTCTCTCAGATGTTCCTGCAGAAGAGATGCTGTCGGATGAGTATTATGAGCAGGATGGGGAAGAGCAAAGTGATTCACTGCATTACCGGGGTATGAAAAAGCCATCTGAATCAAATTCATGGCCACAACGGATGTCAACCACTGCAAATAGAACTTTGCATAGGAATTCAAGGTTTTCAGACGATGCTGAAGAAGATGACTATGATGATGGAGATAATGATAACGATGGTGATGACGCTGATTATGAAGAAGAGGATGAAGCAGATGGTGTGTTAAACATTCTCTTGAGTGTGGAATACTGTTTCAAATTAGCCAATATATGGCTCTTGTTATCTAGTTCTAATTTGTGATGAACTTCTGTGATTTTTTTAATTTTAACATCTTGCAGAAGATGACCCTGATGATGCAGACTTTGAGCCTGCCACAATTGGTCATGCTGGAAATAAGGTAATTTATGTGCGCTTGTTGTTGCAATTTATGTAGTCAGGGGTTGCATAAGTCTATTAGAAGCTAAATTTTTCTTTACTCTTAGTTTTGAAGTTAATGTGTCTGGTGGATGATTCTGAATATCAAATGCTTTAACTGTTACACAGGATAAAGATTGGGAAGGTGAAGGCTCGGATGAAGATGATGACAGTGATGAAAATATAGTTGTCTCAGATGACGATGAGTCTTTCTATGCAAAACGGCCTAAAGGAAGGCAACGAGGTAAGATTGGACAAAGCATAAAATCTACCAGAGATCGCAAAGCGTATGCTCCATCTGGTCGGCAAAGAAGACTTAAATCATCTTTTGAGGACAATGAGTCAACAACTGAGGATTCTGACAATGACAGTGATGAGGATTTCAAAAGCTCAAAAAAGCGGGGTGTTCATGCTCGCAAAAATAATGGTCGTTCTTCTTCAGTAACAGGTCTTTCTATGCGCAACAGTGAGGTTCGGACATCTAGTAGGACTGTTAGGAAGGTATCATATATGGAAAGTGAAGAAAGTGAAGAAGTCGATGAAGGGAAAAAGAAAAAATCCCAAAAGGTACAATCTTTACTATACGCATCTGAGCATGATTTTTATCTCCTTCTTTTGGGGTGTCTGTAGTTTGGTGTAAATGTCTTGTGGTTTATTTATCTACTAAAATTCCGTAAATGTTGATTGTAATATATGTAAGACTCAAATAATCATGTCACTTCGTATAATGTAAATTCCAAGGGCTGTTTTACTTGCATAGTAAATGACTACTAATTAGACACATTTTTTCTTATTTGAGTAAATAATTTTGGCAGCGTATTATGAGGAAGTTGTGGGTTTATTTAATAAGGATATGTTTTACATATATTTGACGACAAAACAAGATTTATTAGAAAGAAGACATGGAAATCACATCTCCTTTGAAACAACCATTAGTAGATCTGAGTAATCTATAGAGGAGCCAAAAGCACAATCCTAAATGAAATTAATCTGCAAAGTAGTGAAATACCACTAAAGTTGCAGTGTACATCAGTACATGAATGGGTTGCATAACCTGTACAGTCCTGCAGAATTTTCTCTTACTTTTAACCTTTCTCATTTTGAACCTGACCAAATAAAACTGTTCCAAATTAGGAAAGACCAACAACAACAAAGCCTTATTCACTAGGCGAGTTTGGCTAGAAATAGATACATAAACAACTAAAAAAAATTATCCCAATAATTTTCGTATCTGTTACTAGTATCTTCTGTGCTTCTAAGATGTTTGTTTTATCATTTTGGAGGGCGGGTGGATGTGGCATTGCATGATTTCTTGTTCAGATTAATATGTTTTGTAGGAAGTTGAAGGTCTGATTGATTCTTGTTGAAATCAGAAAATAATGTATTTCTATTCCTCAGTTTCAGTGTGATATGGAGTAAAGTTAGGAAATGGAATTACATGTGTGATGAACTGGAGATTATGAATTTATCTATTATTTTTCTGTTTCTTTTAATTTTCATTATTTTTAGAATGAAATATTGTGCATAAGAGGTAGGATTATTTTATAAGGTGTTTTACTAAGGCGAATTGGTGCAAATCCAATGCTTGTTTTAACTTGGCATTTAGAAAAAAAATTGAGAATTTTTTAGGGATATAGGTAAGGAAGTGACATTTTTAAGTGGGGATTTGGAGAATGTATACTGGCTTGAAATATTGTGCATAAGAGGTAGGATTATTAAATTTATAGGGTGTTTTACTAAGAAGAATTGGTTCAAACCCTGGGCTTGTTTTAATGTGGCATTCAGACAAATTGATGATTTTTTAAGGATATAGGTAAGGAAGTGAAATTTTTAAGTGGGAAATCAGAGAATGAATACTGGTTTGAAGAAAGCTTGTGAATTTGAATATTTTGTCTAAATAGAGTGGTATACAACCACTTCCTTGGTGGAAGATCATTGGTGTTTGTTAGTAATTTGTGTCAGCTGTTTTATTCCTTACATTTGGTGTGGTGGTTGTGGAGAGACCTCAGGTATGAGGTTTTCCGATTGCTTGACAGGATTTATTCCCAAGTGGCAAGATGGTAATTTCAGTAGCATTTGTTTTGACATTTGAGATTTCTCCAAGCTCTCCTTTTCAAGGATAATAGTTTTGTTTGAGTACAGCATAGAAATATGCTGGATCTGTGTGATTTAATCTAGAAATGAGGATTTTGTAATCTAATAACATTTTTATTTATATAGGAAAGGCTTGTTTGTGGGGATTTTATTTAGTTTTGTTATTATGATGCATCCTATTGACTTAACATGTGCTTATATTATGTGATTCTTTGTGTTCTTCAGGAAGAAATTGATGAGGAAGATAGTGACTCCATTGAAAAGGTGCTTTGGCATCAACCAAAGGGCACAGCTGAAGATGCCGAAAGGAATAACCGATCAACAGAGCCTGTTTTAATGAGTCACTTGTTTGATTCGGAAATTGATTGGAATGAGATGGAATTTTTGATAAAATGGAAAGGGCAATCACATTTGCACTGTCAATGGAAATCTTTTGCGGAGCTGCAAAACGTATGATATTTACTGTTAATGTTTATTATGAATTATAATAATTATGCTGTCACTACTTTCTTTCTGTCTCTGTTTTTATCACAATAAACCTGCTTTCTATCGTTTGGTTATTTTAGTCTTCCATGCATTTTTTAGTTTTTTATTTTTATTTTTTATTTTTTTATTTCTTTCTGGCTGAAATGTAAATCCTGTCTATACGAGAGATTGCAGCTCAGTGGTTTTAAGAAGGTTTTGAATTATACAAAGAAAATAATGGAAGACATGAGGTATAGGAGGTCAATCTCAAGAGAGGAGGTAAATATTTTAGTTCAGCCAGTCAATTTAAATGCTCTGATTCATTTAATAGGGCTGCAGGATATAATTACTGCAGAACTGGAAATTTATTTGGAGTAAATGGTTTATCTGTTAACGAACTTTGATATTATTTGTGTTTTTCAATATTTTTTTCTTTGTCTGATCCTTTATGCAGATTGAGGTCAATGATGTTAGTAAGGAGATGGATTTAGATATTATAAAACAGAACAGTCAGGTTGGCTTTCATTAAGTGCAATATTTTCATTACTCTGTTCTTGTTTGTGTGTTGTATTGTTAATTGAATTGTTATTGTATTTTTAGGTGGAAAGGATAATTGCAGATAGAATCAGCAAAGATAATTCTGGCGATGTTATTCCAGAATACTTGGTCAAGTGGCACGGACTATCTTATGCTGAAGCGACTTGGTAGATTTCTCTAAAAATTTAGCAATGATGTACTTTATTTTTTATTGATTTTTTATGAATTGTTTTGCTTCATGTTAGAAGCAGGGTGGATTGATCTAGATGAATTGTTGTACACTGCTTTAAACTTTTAGATCTTATAGACATTGTTTTTAACTGTTAATAGACATCTATTGTTTTATTGATACTATGTAAATTGTCACTCTTAATGTACTCTAGGGAAAAGGACACTGATATTGCTTTTGCCCAAAATGCTATTGACGAGTATAAGGTAAGTCTCCTTTTCACTCTATTCCCGTTACAATATTAGTTTTGAAAAGTTCATTACTTGGGTTTAGTAATTCTTGTGGAAGTTATCATCCAACTATCTGTCTTGTATTTGGGCTTGTGCAAATTACGATGGCATGGCTAAAGAGAGATTTTTTGTTGAACGTGAGTATACCTGTAGTTTAGGTATGATACAAAATGGATACCAGGACTTGATTGATTTACAAAAATGGGATAGTATGTGGCAGGGATACAACTAAGTGAACAATTAGACGTTCTTGGTGTTTTTTCATGCCTTGGATATCGGATTTGACTGTTTGCTTTTTTTTATTTTTATGGTCTTGTCATTTGCCATTACTGAGCCAAGTTAAACTATCTTAGCCTGGCAGTGTCCAAAATAAGGAGCTTCAGAAATACAGGGAACATTAACTGTACTACTAGACAACATTTGTATATGCTGGTTTTGCTCAAGTGTCCATGCTTCTTTATATTGACCACTTAATGGCACGTCATCTTGAAATGAATAGATAATTTGGTTAAAACATAGGATACCGTAGCAAAATTTAGTTGGATTTGGATCACTATAGATGTTCCCTTTTTTTTCATTTGATTGAAACTTTCCGTTTTCCTTTTTTGACCTCTGATGTTGGATTTTCCTTTTAATGTTCCTGTCGAATGTGCATTTGTGCCTTCAGTTGGATTAAACTTGTGGTTTTTTGCATGCTTGAGTTTTAGACTTGCAGTAGCCTTAGGAGTTTCACATATCAACCCACTAGAAACAGGACTAGGCTTTGTTGTTGCATTTATGTTTATAAGTGCTGGGTAATGCATGCACGTGGATGAGATTTATATACACTGTTATATGATAATTTGGACACTATCTGTTTATCTTACTAAAACTTTTCTGTTCTGGCATAAACAGGCTCGTGAGGCTGCTATGGCAGCAGTTCAAGGAAAGATG